AAAATCCAACTTCAACAGTGCCTTGTTTTAAATCAGAACAACAACGGGACTAAAAAAGGTAGGACACCTAGAACAAGGAGGGTGTGGGATGGAGGGGGGAAGAATCAAACCAACAGTGACAACAGAAAATGCTAATACATTTCTAAAGTTAGAACTGAACCAGATCCAGGTACAGCAGAACTCAAAAGAACACTGCTACATACTGAACGAAGTAGCAAAACCAACGGTTTCCATTATTTAGCATTCATGATGTAAAAGGCTGCAGATATAAATGATGTGCAAGGCCACGAGAATTTCTTTCACCTTATGTGCTGGCTTTTGACATCTCTGTTTTAAACAACAAGGTTAACTAGACATGTCTAGAAAGCTCACCACAGATGAGGAGCAGCTGGGGAGAAGAGGTGAAACCTATGCAGACATTTACCAGCTATAAGGATGGTCAGAGGACCACAGCACATGGCTGCTACTTTATTCTTACTCTGCATAATGAGCGCTTATCAAGTAAACTTGTGTGTGTGGTGCAGAAAATGGAAGGTTTAGACAGGGCAGTCAAGTTATTTTGGATCTAATATTTACTAATAATTTGCATACGCACCTAACATACTAGGATAGGCACTTTCTAAATAAATAGGAATGAATTTTAAAACAAAAGAAGACAAGCACATATGGCTAAAGGAGGAGGACTAAGATGTGACCACAATCATTTCCATTCCGACCTAAAGATTTTCACAGAAGTCTTCAGAGATTAAAGGCTATTACAAAACCAACATGCAACTTATGAACTTTGAATGTGAATTTTGAAAAGATGACTGCTTCAGAAAACAACTAAAGTTGTTTTAAAAAGTCAGGTCGCTACAGGTCTCATAACCTATGCACAATTCCAGTTTCAAGAAAGGGAATTAACAGGACAAAATATAACTGTCTGCTGAGAACCAAGACACCGTCTTCCAATCAGTAACGGACAGAGGTCAGTTTTAACCAGCTTTCATAGTCCAGTTCCCCTCACCTACAACTCTCAGGCTTTCTAGAAACCATACATAGTATTCGAAAATCCACTAAGAGGGCCTTTTCTCTGCTAGCGCTATTTCACCAAGACACCCAGTTTCCGTGCTGGCCTATAACAATGTACATTTCTGCCAACTCAGAGGCATTTCCCCTCCCAATCTGGAGTTATAAAACAAGCTTCCAAATAACATAGTGGGGTTCTTACTCCCTCAGAACAGTCCCTTCAGAATACTAAATCTTTAGCATTCACTGTTCATGATTATTGCTGCTATCAGAAGGGCTTACAACATTCCTTTTAAATGAAAATGGAGGCTGAATTTTAAGGTAACATTAATTCGGGTCAACAAAAACCATCACGAGTGGACAGTATTACTCCCCATTACTCAATGTCCGCATTCCTGTCAGCCAGCCACAAAGCTACATTCATGATTTCTTGATAGGGTGTCATGAACTTTTTCAAACACTGTCTCATAATCACATTGCGTTTTTTTGTTTCAAGAGACATTCTGAACCAGAGACGTTGAGTTCCACTGTACCCTTGCGTTGTCGTACTTAAATGGAAACGAACATTCAGACTTTTCAAGCTTTCCTTACAAGTTTTTGACTCATGATGTTGTTCAACTACCAAATATAAGTAGAATATGAAAAAGAACTATTTCTTTCTTTGACATACCAGTATTCTCTAAATGGTTTAAACTGAACAGTTCAGAATCATTCCAATCATAGCTTAAGCTATCTGTACTACTTGTCAAAATATTATGGCTGAACTGTTCACACAAGTCTGTAAATTGCAGGATCTCAATGTATATCCCTGTTGGTTATCTGAAACTCAGCTCTATGCTTTTTCAGTCCTTAACCTCTTTTTTTCCAGAGTACAAGAGGATCAGACCTTCATTTTTTGAGCTATGATAGATCTCATGCTCTTCTCTCTTAAATTTCTTTTTTTTTGTGCTCCCTGCTTATTAGCTACTTCACAAAATGGTTTCACTTAACTAAAATGAAGGTATGCTGGACTGCTTTAAACAGTCCTCCTGTAGATTACCTCTTCCTGTTAGGACTATGGGTTTTTCAGAAGCTGTCAAGGCATCTAAGCGTTTCAGTTCAGGTTTGTCAATTCTTCTGAAAATGCATGCCTCCTTCTGGATGCTTTACGTGTTTAGAATTCAAATGCAGTCCAATATTATAGACAGTGAAATTGAATTACTAAACCAGCATAGGCCATCTGAAACAAATACATTCACGTTTATGCAGTATTTTTGGATTACAAAGGCACTGAAATAGTTCCGAGCTGCTTACAAATAAGCCACCATATAGGCAATGAGTCTGTGCATCATTTCCACATCCTCCACAGTCTTTCTGTCTGCTCCCAATTAAAAGCTCTCAGATGAATGCGGTATGTCTTAATGCATGTACATTACAAAGAAAAATGCATACCTGGACACTACCATCAGCTGATAAGTAATTAGTGAAAGATTTTTAAGGGTCCACTGCTCCGGATAAAGAATTCAATTTAAAACTCCCCAGTGTCTTCACCGCATGGCAGATCAAGTTGCCAAGACAGCCACTAAAAAGGGCAAATCTGCAGTCCGTGGTTCGACCAACATTTGTCTCAGAATTCACAGCCTCGACGGTGAACACATTGCTATACTGAGACTAACAAATCGTTCCACTCACTTTCTTCTCCCCCCCATATTTTAAGGTATATGTCATTCATGAAAGTTGTCAGATTGACTGCATTAGAAACTGATGTTCTCTGCCTGCAGAAAGTACCTTGGAAGCCTCAACACAAGCTTTCACACACAGGACTGTCAGAATACCCTCAGATCTTTTCTGATGGATTACCTTCTACAGCAAGGAAATACATCAGTCTCTATGCTGACTCAATCAGTGGTTCCAATTAAGGTCATTTATTGTATTGACTGGGGTACAGGGACAACTGTTCCTTTGAAACTGGATGGAGGCCTCCAATTCATTTCACATAGGCCACCAAATCGTCAGAAGGTAACTACCAGCCTCAACCATAGTCGAATCAGTGACCTAGAAATGAAAGGCTCTGCATCCTTCCCTGAGCCATCCAGTTTCCCCTCAAAAAAATATTTTAATCTGTCTTCATGTTAGGTTTATTTAAATCCCCGATATTGAAGTTGAATTCCTTGAAGACTTGTATAAGAACAATTCCGATAGATACTGTGGTGAATCCACAAGCCATTCCCAAGAAATCTACCACTCCTACATTACTCCATTCCCTGAAAAGGATGGCTGAAGCCAGCAGGACTAGGGTGGTAAACACAACGTAGTAGATGGCACCAAACACAGAGGAGTCGAAACATTCCAGTGCCTTATTGATGTATCTGAACTGAATGATAATGCTACATCCTAATACTGCCAGAAGTACCAGACAGAGGTACAGAGCCCTTTGACTCGACGGGTTATTGTGAAAGATATCTTGAGCAGCCAGCCCAATGCCTTTTGTGCTGGGAACAGTGAAACTGCCCAACAGAGAGCAAATACTGATGTAAACCATGATATTAGTAGGTCCATGAGCTGGAGCTATCCAGAAGATAAGCAGGAGAAGCATTAGCAGCACTACGCAGAGATAACCCACGAAAACTGGAAAATAAAAAGAAAACAAGATAATAGCAAGGTGAGAACTCTTGGTCTTCCAAAGGTTTTAGCAGGCAAATCACATCACACCAGTAAACTCCAGGTATACACCAGGATCAAGATTCCCTATTGAACATAGATTCAAATCACTGAGCTTTCAGAGATGTTGTGGGTGTCTGCAGCTGATGATGCTGTCATGCTGTCCTGGTTTGGGCTAAACCAGAACTAATTCTGTTTTAGTGCTGTAACTTTTCAGTTAAGTCTCCTCTGACTAACGGCACTTTCTGAAACAGCAGCATGTTTTTCCAGACAGTGACTGCTCCTAGCAGTGATAATGCTTGATGTTTATAGTTCTACCAAGCAGAGAGGCCCTTGCTTATACTTGTTCTTACAGCGACCAAGGTCACTGCTAAATCTTGTGCCCCATGCTGGGGTGCTGGGAGTGAAAAGGGTCGCAAGCATGAAAAAGGTCGCACCTGCAGGGAGGAGCAAACCGGACAGGTGACCCAAACCTGACCAACAGAGTATTCCATCCCATATACGTCATATTCAGTATAGAGCTGAGAGATCACGAGGGTCTCTCTCTCTTCTTCAATGGCCGACACCTGAGGAGGACTCTGTCAGTTCTTCTGTCATCGATCTCGATCTGTGCATCCCTGAATCCAGTGCCTGAGTCCAGCTCCTGCATCCCATCCCTGTCAGCTGCCGAGTCCAGCCGGGGACTGCCCCAGTGCCAGTCCTGCAGCGTTACTGGTGACGTATCATCATCAGGGTGGGGGGAGTTGGGTTTGGTATTGGTTTTGTATACATTTGTACATAGTGTATATATTTCATTATTTCCTTATTCTTATTTTTATTCTTATCTTTTCTTTTATTGTTATTGTTTCATTAAGGCTGTTTTAGTTTTCTTTTCCAAACCGTAAAGTCTCTCTCCCTTACTGTCTCTCCTTTTCCCTTTTGGGAGGGGAGAGGGGTTAATAGAGGGTGTCTGTCATTTGTAAGTGGTTGGCCCAGCCTCAACCCATGACATACATTTTTTCGGGCAAAACAAATCATCATGTAGTAAAATACAAACTGTTGCACATTTGAACTGGATTTAAGGCAGCTTTCTTTTAATTCTTTCTTCCATCAAGATTATACTCCTTTAAGCCCTCTGTGACAGCAGTGATAACACCTCATTCATAACCAGTTCAATAGAGCTTGGTGTGTGCACCTGGCAAAGAGCTTAAAGTTAGATCCCATGAAGGTAAGTAGGGCGAGTTGGAAGAACTGGGAGGCATATCATTTACATTATAGCATCTGTACACAGATTAGACTGGTGAAAAACATTTCATGCTTTACAGTATATTTCCAATTCATTTCGGTCAGATTGAAATGGTAAATTTAGACGAGGGTATTTGTTTTCTTTTCTTTGTTTGCAATTTTTTTGGATAGCTGATGTTATTAGGTTTGAGTTTCTCTCATCTAAAGCAATTAAAAGAAATAACAATAGTTGGCAGTTTAGCTCTTATGCAAGGAAAAAAAAAAGTGAATCTGGCACTTATTAGCACTAGTATGTGTCCTGAAGCAGCTAGTGGGGCTTCACATTCTCTGTGAGAAAGAACAGGCATTTCAGCATATGTCTCAACAGCATATTTCTACACACCTTTATTGTGCAAAGAAATCTGCTTGGAACATAACTAGTATCTGGTATAAATTTTTAATAAAAAATAAATGCAAAATTAAAGAAGACAATCAGTATTTTTTTTTTGTTTGCATTTATATTGGGTTTGCGTGGCAAGATTTTGGTAGTAGGGGGGCTTACAGGGGTGGCTTCTGTGAGTTGTTGTTAGAAGCTTTCCCCATGTCTGACAGAGCCAGTGCCAGCTGGCTCCAAGATGGACCCGCTGCTGGCCAAGGCTGAGCCCATCAGCAATGGTGGTAGCGCCTCTGGGATAACGTGTTTAAGAAAGGGAAAAAAGCTGCACGAGGGCAATTGCAGCTGGAGAGAGGAGTGAGAGTATGTGAGTGAAACAACTCTGCAGACACCAAGGTCAGTGAAGAAAGAAGGGGAGGAGGTGCTCCAGGTGCCGGAGCAGTGATTCCACTGCAGCCTGTGGTGAAGACCATGGTGAGACAGGCTGCCCCCCTGCAGCCCATGGAGGTTAATGGTGGAGCAGATGTCCACCTGCAGCCTGTGGAGGACCCCATGCCAGAGCACGTGGATGTTCCTGAAGGAGGCTGTGACCCCACGGGAGGCCCATGCTGGAGCAGGCTCCTGGAAGGACCTGTGGACCCCTAGAGAGAGTAGCCCACGCTGGAGCAGGTTTGCTATCAGGACTTGTGACCCTGCAGGAGACCCACGCTGGAGCAGTCTGTTCCTGAAGGACTGCACCCCCATGGTGGAGCAGTTTGTGGAGAACTGCACTCCGTGGGAAGGACTTACGTTGGAGAAGTTCATGGAGAACTGTCTCCCATGGGAAGGACACATGTTGGAGCAGGTGAAGGGTGTGAGGAGTCCTCCCCCTGAGGAGGAAGAAGCAGCAGGGACAACATATGATGAACTGACTGTAACCCCCATTCCCCATCCCCCTGCGCTGCTAGGGGGGAGGAGGTAGAGAATCAGGAGCAGAGCTAAGCCTGGGAAGAAGGGAGGGGTGGGGGGAAGGTGTTTTAAGATTTGGTTTTATTTCTCATTACCCTTCTGTGATTTGATTGGTAGTAAATTAAACTAATTTCCCCAAGTCTGTTTTGCCCATGACGGTAACTGCTGAGTAATGTCCCTGTCCTTATCTCAATCCATGAGCCTTTTGTTGTATTTTAACTCCCCTGTCCAGCTGAGGAGGGGAAGTGATAGAGCAGTTTTGGTGGGCACCTGATGTTCAGCCAGGGTCAACCCACCACAACATAAAACAACTTAAATTGAGATCCTAGAATCATACTTTTCATCTCTAAGTAGCCTGATACACTTTTTCATAATTTTAGAAAATTACAAGTTCAAATGGCCATTGTGCTGAGCTTGCTGTGCAGGTCAGTGTTTTCAAAAGTATCCACATTTTCCTTTCTGCACACGTGTACCAATAACACTGATGAGTTCCAAGTACAGCAACGGATAGTTTTCCTACACAAAAGCTGTACTGGTTTGCCTCTGTCACGTCACAGTTCTTCAGAAGTCAATTTTCCTACCTTGGAAAAGTGGAAGTGGTAAGCCTCTTGCTCCTGCGTGCCCTTGATCAATCTGACAAAATCATTATGAGTTAATAAAAGAACAAAGTACCTGGATTTGTAAGCTTCTCTTCAAGCTCAGCCTGAGTCGTTACACTCTCGGACTTTGGGGAATGGATGATGAGAACAACAGACCCAGCGCAGCTCAGCAAACATCCCAGCTTGCCAAGAATGTTGAGTTTTTCTTTCAGCAAGTAAGAAGCTAAAATAGACCTTTCACAAAGAGGAAGAAAATTAAAAGTTTGAATACATCCTGTTAATAATGTGCTAGCAGCGACGTGCCAAATGAATTTCCCTCTTAAAGGAATAGTATTAAATGATGGTCCATCTTCAACCAAATGTTGGTGGATCCTCAAAATGCATTTCTGACTTATGTTAGGGAAGATACTCTAGTCTCAGTCTTACTCAATCTTTGACGTCTCACCTCAGGAAAAAAAAAAAAAAAATCAAAACCAAAACCAAACCAACCACCCAAGAAACAAAAAAAAACCAACCACAAAACCCCCAAAACCAACACCATATCACCCCTTCAAAAACAAAAACCCAAACCTCCAAACCAGGCACCTGGTACCCGAGGCAGATAATCTACCCATTAACAATCTGGAGAGCTGTCACGAAGCCCCATTTTATAGGTGCTACGCAGTCAGGAGATAAAAATGACCTTTGGTTACAAAGACCACAGGGCTCAGCTCAGACATGTAGCTGACCAAAATACACAAAATTATGTGGCCTAGGATAAAATAATAGGTGGTAAGTAGAGCACCCTCAGTGTGTTTCATCGTGTATAAAGCTAAAGACAGCCATGAAGCCCATACAAAGCACTCTGCACTCTGAAGTAGATGACAAGTGCAGTCAGATACACAATTCAGCAGCCAACAGTAGGCAACAGAAAAATCTCGAGGCAATGCACAGCTTTGTTTTTGAAGAATTATACTTTTTCACTGCAGTAGTTTCACAACTGTAGTTCAGCTATTCACAAAACATTTAGTTGCATATTACACTCCTTTTAGGAACACTCACTGCCTTTTTTGTTCTGCTCCCCCCCACCGTGAATATAACATTCAAGAAGCTGGGGGCATGCATATGTAAGGCACTCCCTTGCTTCAGGAAAGGGGACAAATCCAATTAAATGAAAATTAGCATCTATAAACACGGGTGGGCTGTGGATAGCAGGGGAGAGAAAGAACGTGAGACAAAAGGAAAGATCTACATAGTAGAGGAACTGTGAATAAGAGAATAGGCAGAAGAGTCCAGAATAACCACAGGGAAGGCAAGAAAAAAAAATGTTTATCTGTTGCAGATCATAGTCATAGTTAAAGCAGAAGATACTCGGGAACCCTGTCTTCACCAGTGCCTTCCCCGCTGCCCCAGCCACTTTGCTGAGGGAAACAGGATTAGGTGACACTATAACCCATCATTAACAGTCATAAGCCTGACATCTTCTCAGTGGACCTCCAGTGATCACTGGGTCTATCTGACATTTTATTAAGTAGTAACAACATTCACATAAGAACAAGAAAAGCAAACTCTTACCCAAATGGAACGCCAAGAGCTCCCAGGGGTGTCACTAGCACAGTGGGCACTGCAGTGTAGGCCAAGAAATTCCCTATTTGACCCAGAGCCACTGTCAAGAGAACCAGAAATAAGCCTTTAAATCCCTTTGTAAACAGAAGCAATGAAAACTTACCCAATACTGTTTGGGAAACTGACCTGACTGAAAAACAGATGTTACAGATTCATTTAGCTGTTAATTTTGCACTTACAAAAAATGGTTGTAATTTTTCCATATTTTAAAATTATTTTTTAATATAGGATATTTGCCACACAAGAAGATCCAAGAGGGCAAAGTAAATAATTTCATTTGCAATTTCTTAGTTGAATATAAATAAGTCTATGAATTAGAAACACTCATGGATTACTCTCAAATATCTCAATATTACACCCAAATATTTATATGAGGAGGGCTAAAAGCATATATAACCCAGGATTTCAGCTTTAGAATGTGCATGCATGTAACACAAATGCACATGGTCATAGTTTCTAATGGCAGTGTTACTTTTGGGGGGGGGGGGAAATAAGGGCAGTACTGAGGAAAGGAATCTAATAATGAAACACTAAGCATATGCATAAAGGCTCTTCAATGTACAGTAGATCACATCAAATTCTCACAGCACTATATAACATCAAAAGTAATTCCTGACCCCTGTAAAAAGAACAGATCCCTGACAAGTCACAATAATAGCCTCACAATCTTATTTTTTTCTTTCCCCCAATAAAAGGAAATTCCAAGATCTACCATACTATTGCACATCACAGCTACGATAAACAGTTCATGCGTTCAAGTTTTCAGTTAAAAACAAAAAGCTGGATGGTTTTGCAAGTGCTGGCAAGTTTATAATAGGTCAACATGATGCTTGCATAGTTACAGGGTCTGTGGTAACTGGCAAGAACCTCGGGACTGAACACAATTTACATACAGCTCAAATTTCCAGTTGATGTTAAGAGCCATTATCAGCATTTACAAACATTTCAAGAATCCAAGCTTTCTTTGTGCTCAGGCTGCCATTGCCCTCGACTATCAAACATCGTTACCATCATGCTGTTCTTTACACCTGCAAAGCACTGTGCAAACATTAATTAATGTACCAAATTGGCTCACATTATCAGTAGAGCTGAAGACCTGTGTAACCTACAGGAAACACGAAGGAGACAAACAAACTTGCAAAACTGCAGAGTGTGGCAAAATTACACCAATTCAGTTCACTGAGGCTTTCTCTATGTGCAGGAGTGAGCCAGAGAAGTTAATGAGCAGCGTTTCTAGAGCACAAGAGTCAGTGATGGTCTCCTGAATTCTCCCTGCCCCTGGGAACACAGTAACTCAGCTATCAGCCTCCGGCTTGTTTTTCAGCAGACGGACACAGCGACTTTGGCATTATCTTCAAGGCATCTGAAGGCACTGGGGCAGATCTTGCACAGAGGATGGGACACAGCTGGCATGCTGTGTTTCTGCAGATCACATACATTTCCAAGTGACTCTGACAAAAGGTTGCTTTTTTTGGAGGTCAGCTGCCTTAACTTTCTGTGGGAAGAACCCTAACTGACGGCACCAACACTAATCTGTAAATTAGCTCTCTGAAACTTCAGTCAAACTGCACGTATTGTAAAGCAACTGAACTTACCAGAAGTTTTCAGTATCGCCACGGAGTAACAGTAACAGTCTCTTAACCACCATGGACAGACCAGGACTAATTAAGATCAATTTAAAAAAGAACCTCAGTAATTGTTACCATCTACCTGACATTGATGACCTTTGCTGCCAACCTCTCTGGATAGAAACTCCTCTCTGGATACATCAATGCCATAACTCAATTCATGGTTTCAGTTCTTGAAGGCACACCAAGCTTTAAGGTTGCTAAAGGAGCACCAGTATCCCTGAAATTATTGCAATACAAAACTTGATGCACACTGACACGTCTACATTAGCAAGGAGACCAGGAGTAGATCTGTACAGCAAAAGATGGCTGCTCTACACGTGTCAGGGGTTTTATTTCAGACTAACTTCAGCCTGCTCCCACAGACTGAAAGTCTATTTGCAGCTGCTGTGCAGTTGGCATGTTCCTAGAGTGCATCTTCCAGCCTAGTTTCATCTTAAAGTCCAGTTCAGGAGCTCCAACACCGCTCCACAACGTGAAAGAAAGCCCAATCCATGGAGACAAACAGGAGATTTGCTTCACAAGTGTACTGCCCATCTGCAACAAAATGCTAACATAGATGTATCCACTATAAAAAACAGACACATCTATGCTGCTGTCAAAACCTGAACTGAAACTAATTAATTAGCCAATTAATTAGTTTAACGCTCATTGAAATACCTGTACACATGCTGCAATCAGTCTTTTGACTTTAAAAAAAAATCCCTTAGCAGAATCTGTAGCTCTTCCTTTGAAGTCTTCAGTAATCCAGTGGATCCCAAGGCCCCAAAATGGTTAGGCAGTGTTATGCTGAGTCAGCATGGCAAGACAGAAATGCTTGTTCACCATCTGAACAAATATTGTGAAAACAAGTTGATAGAGTTTATGTGGGTTTTGTTAGTCATCCAAACTCCACATTCCCTGCTTGAGAAAATGATGTCAGCTGTTATAATTTCACCCAGATAACTGCAGATACTGCTAATTCCCCAAACATCGCCTTTCTCTGCATCTCGTAAGTGCCTACCTGGCCCTCACTATTGCTGTTTGTGACTCTGTTGCAATTCTGAATCTATAATATCTCTAAGCAATTCTTCCCTTGGTTCCTTTGTAAACTCACCGAGGCTGCACCTAGCTACTGGACAAAAGCCAACTGACACCATCCCCTTCAGCTATTTTGCCTTCATTCAATTCTGTCAGCTCTTTTAAGCATGAAATCAGTTTTCTCTGATTCACTGAGATAAACTCCTGTAATAAAACCTCTCTTATTTTAACTCCTTGTGCCCAGAGATTCAAGATGGGAGCCTCACGAGTGATAACAGCAGTGATTAATGCACAGATTTATTGCTGCTCAGGCAGTAGCGATCCTGGCAGAGGAGGAAGCTGACAAAGTACTACTTAAACGCAGGTTAAGTTAGCCGAGGACTTTCCTCTGAAGCTCTACTGGCTTCTACACTTGCTGTGAACTTTGTGCTTCAAGGGATCTATCAGTTTCCATTCCTTTTGCAAAGGTTGGAGACAACAAAACCAGAGACTTACCTCGTTGCAACGAAACAAGGAGCACAACTGTACTCATATACTTCTCAGCAACAGCATCAGAACGTTTCCAAATAATTTGCAAAAGGCTGGGTTAGAGACTAAAAGCTGGGTATGATTTTAAGCTCATGGGTAGAACTAGGGCTTGAACTGCAAGAGGAGAAAGCTAGCTGCTCCCCATGCTCTGGATTCACATCAGAGAGTGAACTTAGCCTGAGCGGAGTTTACAAAGACACTAAGAGTGTAATTACACTGATCTCCTATCAGCACCACACAAGGCTTCGCATTAATCTTGTAGATTAAAGGAAAAACTGAAACTGTATCTGTCAAACTAGAAACCAAAAAGGATTTTTAAATTTTTTTTTAGTCAAGGCTGGCTAAGTGCTTTCTGATCTAAAATAACAACATGTGCTCAATGAGCCCTTTTGTGCAGAGCGACAATTTCTTATTCAGCTTTGACTTTTATTAAAAGCTGAGCAGACCAGTGCAATCCAGAGACACGAACCGTGCAGGAACCCAGAGTCAGAGCAGCGCATGGCTGCCAAGAGCTGCAAGTACCAAACAGTTCGGAAATGTGGGAAGATGTCCGACTTGGGTTTGTCCCAGCTCTTTGCCTTCTCAAACACCGTCAGACACGGTAGCCAGAGTGAGAGTTTACTGAAGGTGGGATATTTCTGAGGGATAGAAATTTCATGACAAGTGAGCGTGAGATTCAAGATGAGAACCCAGATTTCCCGAGGTCTAATTTCACCATCTAACCACAAAGTCTCCCTTCAAATAAAATCAAAACTTTTAAGATACTTACTTGCAATAGTGCCAGACCACCATACTATATCTGTTAAATACGAAGTACCTGAAAGAGGAAGTATAGGAAGACATATTAGAAAAATATGAAATTGCAATACTGGAACTACAAAATGGAGTAATTTCAACAGACTCAACTATTGACGACCTTCATCTCAACCCTTTTCTTCAAGGCAACCGAGTGGAAGGAAAAAAAGAGAGAAGGTGCTCGGAGTTGGCCTAAGTGTCCAAGTTAGACCTTCTTCAGATAACTTATTAGTCAGAAGTTCTGGTTTCCAGTGAAGTAGCTATGCAACACTAACACAGTATTATTTAGAAGAGCATCCAAAATGTCACCAAATGCTTATGAGGGTGCCATTTAAACATATGTGTTAGAACCACTACTAGGAGGATGGGAAACCTATGGAAATAAAAAATTATGTGGATCAATTAGTTTGGTAATATAGCTTCAATGAGATCATATCACAGAAATTGTAGCAGAGAAATTGTTTTGGCATGTGGTTTTGGCAATATCGTGGCATGGACCGACCCTCCTGCTTTTGAGCATTGGAAAATGCTACGACTGAGGTCTCTGAATTCCTGACATACTGCTCCTTTTCAAAGAGAGGAGTAGAAACTCCGGATTGTCCCTTAGTGTCTCCTAAACCCAAGGATGATTATTTTCATCGTCAGATTATAGGCTCTCGCCTTGGGGCGTGCCAGGGCAGCCTGTGCACCACATTTTATAAGTTCTGCTTCTGTACAACACCAAGGTTAATGACTGCTTACTAAACTAAAGCCTGGCCTCCAGCGAGCATGACCTTGGCATCACGCTACGCTCTTAGATTCTGCTCCTCTTTCTAGCAATTCAGGTCTGCATTTATTTGGGAAGGTACTCTCTCAAGAGCTGCTGGAGCAATAGGCAATATTGTACCTACCCTGAAATCCCAAATGAAAGAAAACCACAGTAATCTATAACTCTGGAGAAATTAAAAAAAAAAAAAAATATTAAGCGCTTGGAAATCACACTATGTAATTGAAATGAGATGGAAAATGACTAATGAAAATGGCCAGCTTTAGAGTGGGTGTAATAATTTTTTTAGACTTTTGTTATTGCCTAGAAAATAAAAACACTGTTGGGGGCACAAATTATAGAAAATATTGACTCAAGTAAGATAACTTTGCAAAATATTTGTCACCCGCTGCTGTTTCGAACTAAGCAAGGATTACTAATTGCATTGATACTATATGACTGATTCAACAGAGAAGACAGAAAAGACTTGAAGTGCCTCCTTGTTAATTATACAACACCTACTAAAGCCAATGGAAAAAAAAGACATCATCTGATGCTGGTGATCTGGGGCTCACAGCCCCGACTGCTGGATTCAAGGCAGAGCCACGCTGCTTTGCAACATTAAACAGAGAGAAACCTAGGGTATCTGCCTGGATGTCTCCACACTGAGCATGGCAATAGGAAACACTACGAATCACTCGGTAAGATACAAAATAAACATCAATAATATCTTCAAAACAGGGTGTTTTACAGCTGCCAGTGCTGAGAAGGCAGGCACACACCCATCACCCACTTAAGCAAGTGCTCCACTGAAAGCTCTTCAGGACTAATTACACCCAACTCTACTGCAAAATGGAAACTTCCTCCAACTGCCTTGGGATGGAAAGTCATTCCTTTCTCTCAAGTTTCTCATTGCTTCCCTTACAAAAAAAGATTTGTATTTGTGATGCAAACGTGATCTCTCTGTGGACAATGAAGATGGACTACAGCCATCTTGGAGGGAAGGGAAGACTATGCTCGCGTAGCAGTAGCTTGAGGCCCTTAACTGTAAGGTATGGCAGAAAGGGCAAAAAAAGCCCTTGTTAGATCATGCCAGCTGGTCGTAACATAGTTGCAAGCTTGCTCTGTTCCACTGCATCCACTTTGAACATGCCAGATGCAGCAGGCACTGGAAATGCACTGCTACTCCAACACCAACCCTCTCAAATACATCTACGTGTACATATGAATTTACATAGACACATGTATACAGAGAAAATACCTAGCGTGTCCTGGTCACCAAAAAGGATTTTTCATAAGAAAGAGGCCCCAGAACCTATAGACCCATTCTTGTACACACACAGACACCATCACCTACAAAACAAACAGCTATTGAACAAAGAAATACAATCAAAAGGCCTCACGCAGCCTGTATTTACAACTTTCCCCTCACATAAAAGCATGATATTAAGAACACATAAATATATTGCATTTTCCTATATTCAAAGCATCAAGATGCACCTAACAAGTGCTATTCTGAGGCTGCATGTTTTGCGGAACTCCTATTTCAGAATAAAATACAGAAGATCTTCATACTCTGTGAATTTACAGCTTTGTTTTGGCTAAACTGTCCAGATAGCACAGTCAGTTCCTGAATACATTCCACTCAGAGAACAACAACGAGGTATGGGATTTCAATACGAAAAATAGAAGAAATTATTCGTGTTACTGGTGGTGCCTTTCTTCTCTACGAAAGGAAACCACCGCGTGACGAATGTGACTTGTCGTGCATGTCCATGGAAGAGCTACAATATACGAGTGACAAGATGTGCTGGTGCTGTTCATGGTGAGAAACTACCGGAGCCAAAGAAACGGGTAGAAAAGTCCCACACGTACACGAAAATGCCGCAAGAGAAACCTATGTACGCACGCACACACGGGTCCCCGGTGTGGTGTGACAGCACGACAGAACCCCGTGAGCTGGCCGTACCCAGGGAAGCTGTTGCTGGTGTCTACGTTAACACACCCTCGCTGCTCCCCACCTGCCGTCCCCTCGGTAAGTCATCGCACCC